AGGGGTGGGAAAATTTTCCCCCAACTGCTATTTCCCCAAAAAAAAAAACCAAAAAAGAGGTTCCTTTTTTGTTGTCTCTTCCCCCCGGGGGAGAGATTTTTTTTTTTTTCCCAAAAAAACTCCCCCTTTTGTCCTTTTAATTTAATTCCCCTTTTTTTTTTTCCCCCCCCCCCCCCCCCCCCCCCCTTTTTGGGGCCCTTTCTGAACCAACACACCCCCCCCCCAAAGGGGGGGGGTCCCCCCCGGGGGGTCCCCCCCCTTTTTTTTTTCTTTTTTTTAGATCCCAAAAACAAAACCCCCCAAAAAAAGGCGGGTCAAAAATTTTTGTGGGAAAAGGGGGGGGGATTTTTTTTTGAACGGGTTGGTTGGCTTCCAAGGGGAAAAAAAACGGGGGACTTTTAAGTTTTTTGGGGAGATTTAAAAAAAACACCCCCCGGTTTCCTTCTTAACCCCCGCCCCCCCCCCCCCCCCCCCCCCGCCCCCCAGGGCTTGCCGATGTGGTGGTGTCCGTGGATCCACGACCTGGGGCTGATGGCGGGCTGCGTCCGTCACGGCTTCATGAACATCAACGCCATGCGGGGCGACTCGGCGCTGCCGCTCAACCCCGGCGCCGTCAACGACCACATCACGCGCGCGCTGGTCGTCGGGGTCGAAGACCCCGTGTCCCACATGGACGAAGACTTCCCCACGGCGGGGGTGGCGCCGTCGCCGTCGGCTAACAACCCGTCGGCACCTTCCGCCGGCGCCGGCGCCGGCGGCTCCAGCGGCAACGGGAAGGCGAGCGGCGGCGGCGGCGGCGCCAGCGGCTCGGGGTATTCGATCGCGAATGCGCTCGCGGTGGCGGCGGCGGCGGTCAGGGCGGGCAAGGGCTTCGACGGCACCGACGGCCGGGTGCAGGCGTGGCTGGCGGAGACGTGCTCGGAGTTCCCGACGCGGCGGGCGGCGGAGGAGCGGGTGTTCCGGATCTGCATGGCGCTGGCCAAGCCCATGCCGCTGGGGAGCCCGTTGAGAGTGCGGTGTTACAACAGCGCCAATGCCAAGTTCACGGATTCGGTGACGGAGCCGTAGCTACGGCGGGAGCCGTGATCCTCTTGCTTTGTTTTCGTTTGTTTGTTGCTGGTGGTGGTGGTGGTTGGTGCTCTTGTATTGGCTGCTGTGTTCCAGCATTTATGCGAGTACCCTTCTCCGTGTGGTCACAGGTGTGGGCGCTGGCGTATGCTGCGATAAGTGTTGTGCGTCTGCGGCGGCGGTTTGAGTCCAGGGCTGGGGTGTTCTTGTAGTCGTGGGCGCATGCAGTTCAGTCGCGGCCTTCCGTCTATAACCCGGATGGATAACGGGAGAAGGTGGCACAATCCTCCTCCTCCTCCTCCCACCTCCCTCTGCAGGGTGTATCACTGCACTGCCGTTGTTATGGCTCTCGCCGAATACCGCGCTTCTTGCTGCTGTTGGGCAGATCGACGCCTTGTTTGCGCGGAGCTTTTCACGTGATGTATGCGCGGAAAGAAGGGATTCGGGGCAATCTAGCGTGGAGTTGTTGCGCCGCGTTGTAGTGACGATTGACCTGACCAAACCTCAGACCTCTCTCCCGCTGACGGCACTTACTTGTCGCCTCATGATGTAAGTTGCTTGTTCGGGATTGGTGGTCGTCAACGGTGTGACTTTTAGCAGTGGTCGGTCACCCCTTCCATCCCCGTTCCTGTTTTGTGGCTTGATGGGTTTTGGGAATGGAGCCGCTGGTGGAAAAGTATGCTGCTTGTTGGCGCCATTCTGGAAGCCCTAATAGCGCGACGACAGCAGCAGCAGTTGTCTTGTCTGCAAAGCTTGGGGCTATGTATAGTGATGACCTCTCTGTAATGTTGTGCAGATAGATGTTTGTGCCCGCCTTTGTGATGACGCGGTGTTGTTTTAAGGCCTTGTTGAGTACTGTACGTGTGGCAGCGGAAATTTATTATTTCTCCCCGCGCGGGGGGCGAGTTGGGTGTTGTTGTTGTCGTCGTCGCCCCGGTTTGTTGGTGCACCACCGAAACGACGGATGATGGCGGTGCTGGTGCGCTCGTTTTGCTGGCCCGGCTGCCCGGTTGGATGATGTTGATGTATGTGTGTTTTTCTCTTTTATGGCGTTTCTCGCGTTGGGTGTAGATCATACTATACTGGTACCCATTCACGGTGCGGGAAGCAAACAAGCAAACAAGCAAGCAAGCAAACAAGCAAACAAGCAAACAAGCAAGCAAGCAAGCAAGCAAACAAGCAAGCAAGCAAACAAGCCATAATAACGTACGTGTGGTTGTTATGGCGATCGGCGGGTGACGCGCCTGGCCGGCCGGGTGGTTTTGGTTGGTGAAGTGAAATTGTGGCACTTTTGGGAAAGTGCACATACATCCTCGACCCGCATGGACATGTAGCTGAAAAACCAGCAGTGTTTTGAACTAATATACCATCAACAGAAAATACCTGGGCTTGTTCGGAATGCGCCACCACTTTTACTGTTTCAAGAAGTTTACCGGTGGGGGAGTAGTGATGGAGCGAACACAACACCACATAGCGAAGATAGGGAGACTGGAATTTTGCCCCTGGGTCCTGCATGTATGTAAGTTGTTGGGAACGTTTCACGTTTTCCTGCCTAGGAGCTGGGGGATCTTAGCAGTCCAACTTCTTTCAAACGCTTTTTCCTTCTCTTTTCCAACCCATTTGGATTCGCGACTTTCACGCGACCGTCCAAAGCGAAATTTTCAAATTTTCAAATTTTCAATTTTTCAAAGTCGCCAATAATAATAATGCCCGCAGCTAACCTTCCAAATATGTCGCCTTGGACAGAAGTCCCCCACTACTGTTACCGTCGAGGGGCCCGCCCTTCGCAACGAAAACGTCCGTCAGATTCTGAATCTAGGAACTTTGTCGCCGACAACTCCAGCGGCTGGCATGCTGACATATCCATTTGGAAGGCCTCTCCCAGCGCTGTGCTGCTGGCTGTCCCTTTTTAGGGGGGGTCGACAGAAAGGGGTTGTACCCCACGTCCCACCAATCAATTCCGTTGGATCATGCGATGACAGATTACGGGAGTCGGGCCTCAAGACGGCGCCACACACAACGTACACTCGCCTGCTACAAGACGCAAGAGCCAAAGGTGGCCAGGTGCCAGACACGTACAACTTGACCTCCTTGGGGGAGGGTGGGAGGGTGGTAGATACAGGTGAGCGCGGCGGCGTACCGAACATGCGGCGCAATGTGACCACGCCGTTAGCCGCCATGTAGCCGTTCTGTAGCCGCGGTTACGGGTGTGATTCATGTGTGTTCACTTGCCTCCATGCAAACTGGGGAGGATACTCCTACCCGACGTCCCACCAGTAGAGCACGTATCATGTGAGAAAACTTGTCTGCTTGCCACTCACTGAACAAGACGAGTGTTGTCCAACACAGCCTCGCAGCATGCATGGTTTTCAAAATATCATGCCGGCGTGGTCTGCCGCATGGATACGACGTTCTGTGCGTTCGCGCGTGTAATGAGGGGTGTTCCTACGTTCCTACTAGCAAAACCGATTCACGATTCGTACACGTTTCCCTACCTCAACCTTACACCGCGTGAGCAGCGCCTAGCTCCTACTCTTAATGACGATTGTCGACTCCTTTTGCTCTCCCGTCAAAGATTACCCCCAAAACAAGCGGCGTTTTTTTTTTTGAAAAGTGTGCGCGTGTGCGTGCTCGCCATCGATCATGTTCATGCTGCTGTACTGCTGTAGAACGCTCGACAGGTTGTTCACTTATTCCGGAGTTACGGCTCAATATCGAGTGCCATTTGTGTTCGTGGCTCGGTCAATCCAAGGAACGAGGACGTGGTGCGCGGGTGGATGCTGGAAGAAGGAAGAAGAGCCCTTTCGTTTTGACGAGCAGACACACGCTCTTTACCATATGACGCCCGATGATGTGTCATCTGTCGTTTCAAATTTCAAAACCACCCGCCTCCTCGTGATTCGCGCTGAACCGCGTACACTGCTGTACATACACCCCAATCCTGCATCCTGATTGCAGCGCCGCGTGCACCTGAAATGGCGTTCGGCGCGTTGATTGAAATCTTTCGCATCTGAAAGGAGGAATGTGCGTGCCGAACTGTTGTTTTTTTGTTTTGTCGTCAGTCCCGGCGCCAGCAGGAGCAAGTTTTTTATCGTTCGAGGATATACGTAGCAGCATGGATGACGATGATTTCCGAGACATGCTGCTCATGGTTGCACTGCTGGCGGACGACGATAATCTTGTCGATTTTGTGCTCCTGAGTGAGCTGATGCAAGAGGAATCACTCCTGGAGAGGGCGGCAAAGAGCGGCGCAACGATGGACGACCTGGAAGATTGGTTTGACGACACGGGAAGATAGGACCGCAAACCCGTTCCACACGAGCGTCGCTGGTGGAACAAGAAGGCGCACAAACTGCCGTCTGCGACGTTTCGCGCTTGGTTCCGTTGCAGGTGTGGGCGATTTACCCCCCACACACCTTCGATACATACATATTCGTTGAACGAAGCCTTCATCGTGTGGTTTGCACTGCTCCACCGGCGGGAAGCGGACGGCAAATTGCTCCAGGGGGTACGGTACTGCCGAGGTTAATCAACTGTTCGGGCGGCGTCAGAGACTCTCGGTCGCTCATTGCTGCGTGAGAATCACAGTCAGCCTACATTACGATGATTAGGCTCTCTTGGTCGTAATTTTGCAGGGCCGGGTGATGTGACCCTGGTGCCCGACCCGCGCGAAGTCGACACGGTAACACCACCGGCACTTCCTTGGAGGTGCATACTTGTAGCGCCGGGGAAGGTATACATTCCCAGCAGGGCATCGGGGATCTGATCCAGCTCTCGCCCACGCGCACAAAAGTGCATGACCCTTGTGGATGTTTGTGGATGTTTTCTTGCAATGGCTTAGGGTTCCCCCAGCTCGGTGCCCTCCCAATCCTCATGTAATCACACACCGCACACATGATGAACGGTCGTTAGTCCTAAGATTTGTTTCAGGAGCAAGGAAAGCAGCAGCGCTCCTGCGAACGATTCTCCAGCCCTGTCGCGAGTGGTCTCCGCACAGCAATTTTTCGAGTACCCACTTTTGTCCGAGAAAGTGGGTATACCCACCTTCGTCTGCTGTTTCCCGTTTGTTTATTTCCTCGACATACTAACTCTTCTGGTCGTCCCCCGTGAATATGCACCAACAAAACAGCTTCTTCCGCCCCCCCCCGTACTTTCCCCAGCAAGATTACCTTCCGGAGGCTGGTGCAGGCGCTCTACGGCACCACGTACCCGTTTCGCCCCGACAACGCGACCGGGCCGCCGCCCAAGGTCGACCCATGCGAACTCGTCGCGGTGTTCCTCTTCCGGGTACCCGGCGGGCAAGGAGTGCTGCAGACTGCCGGGCACTTCGAAGTCTCAGAAGAGTCCGTGGAGGACTGGACCTCGCAGGTCGCGAGGCTGGTGGTCGAGCGCCTCCGATCGCAGAGTGTTGGGGATCTATTCCGGCATTAACAGGGAGCAGAGAGCCTTTGCAGCAACGCAGAAATCCATGACAGGCAGTCACCGTTGGTGCCGCGCGGTTTCACCCGACCCGTAACTATCGCTAGTTTCACCCGGTCCACCATAAAAGGCGGGAGAGATGGCACCCCCCCCCCCCAGACCGATTTTCAAAGCTCGATTGCTCCGCAACCAAGCTTGTGCCAGCGCCAAGAAAACGCTGTATTGGGAAACATCTCGTCGAGGGATTTCTGTAGTCGTGCCGGGGCTCTTTTCCATACGCACTTGGTTGTGGAGCAATCGAGCTAAGTTAGACAGCAGTCGGCCTGCGGGGGGTGCCGTCTCTCCGTCTCTAAAAACGGTGTACTGCCCCCCAACATACCATGCGCCTACACCCGCCAGCGCACACTCGCCAGGCGCACTCCCTCTCTCTCTCTCTCTCTCTCTCTCTCTCTCTCTCTCTCTCTGTCTCTCTCTCCGACCACCAAACACGCTTGACCCCGTGACCGCACGCGTGTGCCTCAAGTTATCGTCGAACAGGCTCCTGATCAATTCCAGCGGATTCACCGAACCCGAAGTAACGGACGGGGGCGCCGTGAGTGGGAGCGCGTCCGCCGCTCGCTCTGCCATCCTGGCGGCGGGATCTACAGACTCCGGCGGAGGGGCTTCGTCTTCTTCTGCTCGCAGTGGTTCACGACCGGCGTCAAAGGGGAAGGGGAAGGGGACCCGTGATACGCCCGGACGTGGGACCCGCGGGTATCTCGACGAGGAGCTGGCGGAAAGGAACAGCAGCAATCTCGCCGCTTTGTCGGGAGAGCAGGGAACGGCGAAACGCAAGCAGCTTCCCTGGCACCCCAACGACATGTTTACTGCCTATGATGCGAAGAGGAGCCAAGAGAGAAACAAGCTGCTGCTGGATATGTTCGTAGAGAAAGCGCTTCGGGGTCGGCAAGTGAAGCGGCGGCGGGACCTGGAACTGGAGCGCCAGGACCTGGAACTGGAGCGCCAGGAGGTCGCCCTCAGAAAGGCCGAGATGGAGCAAGCAGCGACCGAGGCGAGACACAACCACCTTTTCGCTCTCCATCGAGCTGGTCGTCTCGACGGATCTCAGCTCAAAGCCGTCATCTTGGCAGACCTGCCCCCCGAACTAAGGAAAGTCATCGAGGCTTGCGAACAAGATGAGGGCCGGGCGGGTGGAGGGGCGGGATCGCCGACGTGAACGGGACTGCCAGCGGCATTTCCTTTCGGGATTGGCGGCGACAGATAGCGCCGGCACTTCTGAACTTGGTACAATACAAGTAGTTGAGAACTTCATGTTCAGTATTATAGTTGTATCGAACATAAGAAGTTGAGTACCGTTTGTGAGCCCGGTTAAAAACCCTTAATCCATAACATATATCTAGCGGCCACTGTAGCCTCGGCCGAAACTAGAGGTTCTCATGTGCTGACGCTATCTGTAGTCGGTTTGGTGCCTAGCGTTCCGTCTGTTGAGCTGCGAGATGGTAAATAGGGTAGATATAGGGGATCGGTCTGTTCTGAGGACGGGGGGGCGGGGGGCGGGGAGGGGGGTCGTTACGGTTTGAAGGGTGGTGTAAGGTGCCTTCGTCAATACAAAGTTATAATTAAAAAAGTCAAGAGTTGACTACAACACGCACATACATACATCCGATCCGTCATATTGCTCTCTCTCTCTCTCTCTCTCTCTCTCTCTCTCTCTCTCTCTCTCTCTCTCTCTCTCTCTCTCTCTCTCTCTCTCTCTTTTGGTGTGTGCGCTCGTCAAATGTGGTGGGTGCCTCTTTCCTCCCCCCCCCTTTTCTGTTCTTGCGAGAACGAGGAACGAACTGATGGCAGATGCCGTAGACTCGAAGGCGTTGTAATTGCTCTGAAGAAAAAAGGCGTGCTTTTGAATACGGTGTGAGACGACCTCGTCCTGTGCTTGTAGGTATCACGGTTAAACCCTGAGGTCCAGATGTTATCAATGGTAAGTATAACCGCCGGATTGGATAATAATAGTCTACCCTGCAGACAGATCGGTGGCGGCATATCCAAAGTCGCCGACGGACCAAAGTGCCATACATACATACATACATACCGATCGGATGACCTGTCGTATATTTTGAAGCAAGAGTGGCGAAGAAAACGTGCCCAAAGGGGATGATGGAAGTCAGAACGGAAACAAATAATAACTACTCGTTTTACAACCAGGGACAGGGATGGGGGAACCCTTCTCGCTATAAAAATGTATCAATTTCCTAAAGAACAACAACAACGGGGTAGCAACAAAACACAGGACAACGCACAAACCACATAATAAGCGTAGACGGTTGAAGGGGGGGGGGGGGGGGGGGCGAGGAGCGGCCTCGTGAAAAACCTGCGCAAAAGAAACGAAAAAAATAAAAATAAAACGGTGTGGTTGGTGATGAACTCCAACAAGCACACGCGGCGTGACTTGCGTTTTTTTTATTCGATTCATCCGGGTGCACAAAACGCTCTCTTACTAGAACTATCGTTCAACCAGCGTCCTCCAGCAGCTGGGAACCGTGTTTCGCTCCGCAGCAGGTATGCCCGACTTGGACGAGTTGGTCGTTTAGGGGGGGGCGATACTGAACGCGCGGGATCTCGTATGCGCTTCGTCAAGCTCCCAGGTGTGGCTAATCTTCCTCGTGTGTCGGAAAGAAGAAGGCGATGTCCGATGGGTGCCGGTCATGGCGGAGCAGAGTCGGGACAGGGGGCCTACGGGTAGCGTTGTCCGCCAGCTGGTTCCTTTCTGTAGTTTACTGCCCTGCTGCTGAAGCGGCCAGGGAGATGGTTGGTTAGGTCGTAGCAGATCAGAGGAGGACACGCTTGGGGTGCACACAGCAGCAGTAGATTCACTGCTGCACTGCCAGCCCACAACGGGACTGTGGACGATATTTCCCCGCACGTCGAGACCATGGGGCGAGGGGCGAGCATGGTTGGGGTTCCTCGTGCCCACGTACGCCGGCGAGTCTGTGTCACGTGGAAAGAGTTGATAGCCTGATCGATTGATTCCACGCACATCATGAGCACCTTCCTCATTTCCCCCCTCCATTGTGTCGTTTGTTTGAAATGCACCAGGGTTCTGGTGTGTGTTAGATGGGTGTCTACTGCGAGGCTCGGATGAATTAAATCCCGAATCACATGTAGCGCTTTGTTAGAATCAGCGGCAGGCGAAGACGGCGGGGAGATGTACGTACGTACCTATGGGTGCTGTCGTCTCCCTGGGTTCTGTGTTTGGACTATGTACAAACACACGCACCACCCCGTACACGTTACATTCCAACCATGTTTTGTCTTCGTTGATGAGTCGCGTGTCAACGGAGAGAGCTGCCTCTTGAAACTATGGACGGCACTACTGCTGTAGTCTACACCTCTGACAGCTACATATCTGTTACGCTGTTACAGCAGTGAAGGGCCCAGGCTGGTCTGACAGCCAGCTGCAGCACAGTAGGGGGCCCGCAGTAAGGCCGCATAGTGCCACCAGAATAAACCGGCCATGTTGAGGGCACCCGACCTTACTGAGAATCGGCCCTGTATAAGGCCGGTACCGGCCTCGCTGAGGATCTGTATTTCCTCAAAAAGGCCGGTACCGGCCTTGTTGAGGACCCGTGCGCCTACACTAGGCCATACGAAGCGGACGACGCAATTTGAATCGGTGCTTTGCGATCGCATTAATTTCATGCTTCCCATCCAACCGTTCTTCGTCTCTCAGGTTGGAATGGTAAGAAATCACATGTCCAACCGGTAAGAAATCAAAAATGAAATGGTGTGAGATAAAGAAATACCATGTTAAAAATAGACATCAGGCAGATCCCCACGTTCCTTAGAAAATAAAAGGAAACACGTCCGCACGCATTCATGCAGTTCATGCAGTCTTAAGAGGCGAACACCTGACGCAGGGAAAACAGGTCAAGCGAGAAACGCATTCAACGGCTCAAGCCGGCACGCGGTAGTCTGGACCTCGGCCCAAACGTACGCCCTCAGTCAAAAACGGAAAAGCAAATGCCCCTCAAGTCGTACACCCCTTGTTGTTTTGCCACCCAAAAGTAACAACCGATCAGCACACATAGGCACCATGCGTTTATTCCTGCCAAACTTCGGAGAAACGGTTGAAACGGCATATGTAATGGCACACGACCCATTCCTGACAAAACCTCGTGAAAGAAAAAGAGACCACCAACGACACAGCAAACTCTACCAAGATTTCGCCCATGCGCTCATCACATCTATGGAAATTCCCTCAAGTCCGCCTGCCGCGTGGGCAGTGCGGCATGCGCTGCGATCATCGCCATCTTAGCCCTCTGCAGAAAGATAGCGGCCTCAGCATTGCCACTGTCTTCCGCAGCCTTCTCCAGAGCGCCGAAGTGCGCCGAGACCGTGGCGCGCAAGAGAGAGGGTGTAATATGCGGCGTAGCCAGCGTCGCTTCTACGGATGCCGGCCTTATTGGGGGCAGGCTGGGGGTCATAACCGGCCTTATGGAGGGCATGCCCTCAATAAGGCCGCCACCGGTGTTACAGAGGGCGAAGTCTGTGCCAAGCGATTTCACCGTCCTTATATCGGGCAGGCGGCCTTGTTCAAGCGGCCTTACTGCGGGCCCCCTACTGTCTGATCTGCACCCAGGCTGGTCTGATGGCTAGATTCAAAAAGTCTGTACACATTATGATTCGTCTCTTGCATCTACGGCAATTACTGCCCGCATAATGCCCCACGCTCGTTCAAAGCACAGCAGGATAGGCTTGTGTTACCTGCTGTAGATCTCCAGCAGCCACCGAGTACCCCGCCCCAGACTACTGTGACCATCCTGCCAATGCAGCACGGAGAGCGCTTGTCTTTTTGTTCTCGCCATACCCCGCGGCAGTAAGGACACTGAAAGACTTGAGCACATCCCTTTCGACTGCTGTGGTTTTATCTCGAACGGGTAGATAGTGTTTCTGCGTTCGTATGATGTATATCTACACGAATATAGCAGAAGTTTTTTAGCCGACCGGCGATTTAGAGACGACACCAAAGTGTATAGCTGCGGAAGGACTTGTGCGCAGCTGGACTTGAAGCCTCCCGCCGTGGGTGTTGTCATCGGATTTGGTAAAAGTGAGACATGTTTTCCAAACAGCAGCAGTGTCTATGCATTGTACATGGTAGCAACACCGAGTTTGTTTTCTGTGTGTGTTGGTGTGCCATCTAAAGAAATGCAGCGACTACACACGCTACACACGCTGCAACGTCTTCGGAATTTCGGGGATACAACTCACGTCGCACAATGTACGCGGGGCTCTATGTAGAACGATAGGCATTCCGCTACGTGGAAGATTCCAGCTGTGGCTTGCTGCGTACTGGTACAGCCACGCAGGTTCTTGCATGTGGTGTGGAATTGCAGAAGCAGCGGTATGTAATTAGACCATATAATATTTGGGCGAGACATTCTTTCATACAGCAAGTACCATATTTGAGCTGGCCCCCCGTTGTTTTTATTACATTAAATGTACTGATTCCCCAGCAACAGCCGTGGTTCTGGTCCCATCGGGATGTGGTGATCACGCGCCGGGCTCAGTCGCGTGGTCGACCCTGCACACGTATCATAAAACGCTAAATATGATCTTGTGTCGAATGCCCGTCGTTCATCTTCCTGTCGTACCCAGCACTCTTGGAGGCTTCGTGCGAACTCGAACCCAAGCACTCTAATAACACAGCAGTCAGTCATCAATGTACCCGCATAAGAAATAGGTTGAAGCGACTTACAGAGTGTACACGTCGGGGCAACGGGCCCAGCTCTTCCAACCGCCGAGATCTCTTTAGTCCCACTTTTTAGCGGCCTGTTCATGCTCAAGTCGAACCTTCGTCTTCCACTCTCCGCGCGACTTGCTCCATCCACCCTCGGCGATCAAAACAACGCAGGCTTCATGGCGACCGTTTTCGGCGAGTCGGGCCCAACAAATGTGGAAGTTCTAAACCATCCCACCCGGCGTAAGTCGAAGGGGACGGCAGGGCCGCCAGGCCCGAGCAGGCGCATGTCCGCGGACAGCGCGGCCGTGGCGGCAGAGGCAGGGGACCACTTCGAGATGATGCCTCCCTCTGGTGCCCAGGCCCCTAGGCTCCCACAGCGGCCAACGATGGTGCAGGCACCGCTTAGCTCCGGTAGCGACAGGGTGAGACAGAGAGAGGCACAGAGGGCACAGAGGGGGATAGAGAGACAGAGAGAGAGAGACACACAGAGGGCACAGAGAGAGGGAGAGCATGGTGTGTTACCGTCCTTTCGCTGCAATCGCGGGAGTCGTACAATAGAGGGACAGAGAGGCGAAGGGGGAGTAACACGTCGTGTGACACCACCGAGACCACGAGATCCCCGTTGAGCCGCTGCTGTCGGTTCAGAAGAAGGGGCAAGGAAGTGACGGACACGGTGCGGCACGCAGCTTTGGGTTAAAAAGTTTTTTTCTTGGAAACCTGCGCGAGCCGAACAATGCGGGACCACGTGTCTATGTTTCTCAGGTCGCTCGCTGTTCATCGTATGTTGGCCGTGGTAAGCACGGAGGCCACCCTGTCTTGGTGCTTGTGCGTGGTCCGGTACGTCGCCAAGGATTTTGTTGCGGTATCGTTCAGTTGCCACATTGATGGCGGAGGATAATGTTGGAAGGACATGAAATCGCCGGCTGTAGCCGACAACAAAAGAAAACAGCGCAAGTCCAGTCCAACCTCCAGGGAAAAGGTGATTACATGAAGGATGCAGCGGCAGCAGGAACGTTTAGGACTACCGGCCTCCGGCTGGCATGGCTAGAACAAACGTAGCAGGGCTTGTTCCAACCCGTTGCGCAAATCCTGCGACACCCATGCTGTCTTCCCACCCCCGTCCAGGGAAGGGGCATCGAGAGGTGGTCCTCTTCCTCTAGTCGAATAATGGCTAGTTCCAAGGTGACCGCATCGCGGCGGTTTGCGCAGCCGCTGGCGAGCGAGGGACATGGTAGTGTTTTTCCGGTGGGGCTCCCGCTGTCCAAGAGACGAGCTTTCGAGGTGGAGATCATGAAGAGATTTGACAGGCGAGTCTTTCGGCCCTCTCTGGGGTTGCTGGAATACCCGTGTCCCTTCGAACATGTAGTTGTTTTGAGTGTTTTCGGAAAAAGTGAGTTCGAACTTTTCTTTGTTGATTCAGGAATTTGGTTTGAAGCACTGCCAGGAAAGAATGGTCATCATTGTTGTGTCGACGTGTTTTTTTGTCTCTGTTGGCAATCAACGCGTTTGTTGCTGTGTACGTGGGCAGAGGATAAAATCGTTATGGGTTATGGGTTCCCCGCCTCACACCTTCCCCCTTTGTTGGAAAACGCGAAACCTCTTCTCTGCGGTGCTCTCCGGTAGTGCTCTCTCTGGTGATGACTGTTCACTCTCCCTGCATGCATGCCGTCGTCCACATGATTCCACGAGGTGGTCTTGCTCTGCTATTTTTCCCAACCGACGCCCTCATTTTGCCTCCCTTGTCGGCGTTTGCCTCTGGTGGTTTCACGCGTGTGTTCGGCGCTTGAAAAACAGGCTGGACGTGAACACCCACGTAGGGGAGTTTTGGTTTATTATCGACGCGATCTGGATGTCCACCTGGGTAAATTTCGTCATGGGAAAGTCAGGTCCTCCGGGCCCCATCTCAAACCACAACCTCTTCACCCACTACACCGGCAACAGACGCGAATGTGAGCAGCGATGGCCCTGAAGAAGTAAACACGTCCCAACAGGCTACCGGGAACATTGGCGAATTTGTCTTGACTTCTGCGGGCGTGAGGGCGCTGGGCGTTCTGTGGCTCGATGAAAGGAAGGGTCCAATTCTGGAGTTTTGGTTCGATTTTTGTTCAGAGAGCACTTGTTTCTCAAGAAAAGGGTTGAAAACGTTGGCTCGTGCATATGTGTTCCGCGAGAAGCATCGCGAGTCCGTGGCTCTGCCCGTTTTGTGTCTTCATGGCGTACGGGTCACCTGCTCAACATTTGGAGGTATATGTAGGTTTCGTGGAGGTTGCGTTCCTTCCGTTGCCCAACCCCAGCTCCCACTCTGAACGGTTTGCCTTTTGCACGTCATTACTCTTGCTTGTTCTCCTCGCATCGGGCGTTGCAGCTATGCTCGTGCACCACGCCGCTTCCTCGGCACGCGGCGTCATGGCATCCCGGCCAGACCTCAAGCTGAAAGAAGGCCTGCGGAAATTGAAGGACTACCGTGCGGTTCATCGTGAGTTTTTTTTTGTTTTTCAGAAGCTTCTATTTCTTGTTTGCCACACCGAGGTTGTCGACCACAATTGAACATAAATCTATTTCGAACTGTCTATATCACGTAGAAAACCAAAGATTATCTCCAGTGGTTCTAACGCGTTCCTTCCGACAAGTGGGAGGTATACAACAAGGTCCACGCCTCCATTGTTCTAGGCAGACTTTTGGCTTTTCGTTTTGCCCCAGTGGTTGTGCGATGCTGCCGCGGCACTTGCACACGTGCGCCACCATTTGTGCTATGTCGAGTGTTGTTGCCGTCCTGGGGTTTTCCCCGTATATGGATGCTGTCAAGACGTCCCCCGTTTCGTCTCGACGCGCAATTTCCTCCACCCTTTCCCAATGATACTTTCACCATCTTTCCTCCCCTCCCGCTTTACCCCGTTCTCACTCCCGAGCCTGCGCCTTTCTCCCTCCCGTTGCGTTTTCGATCACTTGGCCGCACGGGTGCAGCGCTGGTTTGGTACCTTTTCCGCGAGATCTACTCGGCGGATGATGCCCCCGAATTGTGCAGGTGAGCGGTCTTGAGAAAACGGCTTGCACGCCTCATGTTTGTTCGATCTGATACTGTACGCAAGAGGAGGGCAAACGCTCCTCCGTCTCTCCTCTCTGGCACACACCACACAATGCCGAGCAGACGGCGCGTGCCTACTCGATTGCGTGCCTCGCGTTGGTCATTTTTTTGTTGGGCTCGACTTCAGTGGGATTGCACGCAACCCCCTTTTCGGGCTTTGAGGAAACCCGCCAAGCCATTTGTGTACAATATGCTGTATATTCTGGACTCAATTTTTTTAATTATTTTCTAGAGGTGGAACTATGTCTGGGTCGTTTAGCAGTGTTCGTGCTTTAATTTGAGTTGGTTTGCGACCCCAAAAATCCTTGTTGAAGACTACACGCAGCGAAGGACGTACTGAACAGGTTAGAACATCTTGAGGCAACGAAAACGCTGTTTTTTTGTGCTTTTTGTTTGAGGGAAGGAATGTTTTGCGGTCCAGTGGAAAGGCCTTGCACCATAACCGAATGCATGCGACCGCTGTAGCATGCCCTTGACCATATTATGTACCTAAGTTTTTTTTTTCTGTGTTCCACCAAGGATTGCTATTGGATCGGCGATGGATCCTCGCAGCAGTTTTGAGTGCAGGGGAACGCCTGCGGCCCGGCTGGAGAAACACCACCTTCCCACATGTGGCGATAAACCTTTTGTGCAACCGCGGTGAACGTGCATGCAACGAACGATTAAGTCCTTGGCTTCTTGTCTGGTTGTTGTGCGCATAGGTGGAAGGCCGACATCTATCTGGCCGAAGTCCAAATCACGAGAAAGCTCAAGTGTTGTGAGGGAGCACACACCAAGGCGGTGTACGAGCTGCGCAGGTTCAGCACGAAAATCAAAGAAGATATGGGTATGGGGGAGTGAATATGCAACGACGGCTGGCCGAGCTTCCACCCTAAGCCATTCATAAGGCTGAAATCGCGCTGAAACTGCACCGTTTTAGCTCCGCACGAACGCTGCTTATGACGGTTTCGAGATCGCCAAGATCGAACACAGATCAGGTCTTCGGACTTGGCTATGGTAAGGCCTTTGCAATATGTTCGGAGCGGGAATTCTGATGTCTTGCTCTCCCCTCTTCCCCATGTTGTTCGTATCTACTCCACTGTATTGCTTGTAAAATAGGGAGTGTAGGGACCCGTTGATGGTACTTGTAACAGGATAGTGTCCTGATCAAATAATTGGTAGGATTTAGAACTCCCCGTTTTGCCTTTGTCCCAGTTTGGGGCAGGAAATCCGATGCGTGTACACTCTTGCGTGGCCCGCCTGTGGCCAGAGGAAGCGATTATGGGGATGCTGTTTGTTGTACATGTTGTCTTGTCCCCCTAATGGCAGCCGCTTTGCAGTTTGGAAGTGGCAGCAGCCATGAAACGTTGTGAAGTTGACGGTGTTGGACAGAGCGCGTTTGAAGCGGTATGATGAGACCGAGGTCGTAATCTTGGTATGTCATGTTGTCGATGGAGAAAGAGAATGCGTGATGGCCCTTTGTACACTTACCAGGTGGTTGTTGAGGCTGTACTCCGGTATAACGCCCTTGTGAGAAGCCAGCGCTAGTCGCTCGCTAGAGAAGTGGGGCATGATAATCTTGAGCTGTCCTTCTGTGCCCGCAATGAATGCCTAGTTCCAGCGGCCCACGCGTTGCGGGAAGTAGCCAGGACCGAGACACCTGCCAGAAACCTCTATCTGCCATTGCGGGCCTCTCGTAGTTTGCCGAGCTCGTGGTGCAGGATATATCCATTGTCATACTTGAGCTAGGCTGGTGCTTGTCGCTTGCCTTAGCCCGCCACGACTACGCTCACCATATATCTCGTTATGGCTAGCCAGAAACACTGAGTTTTTTGGCAGCAAGGCGTTTGTCTCGACCACTGCCGTTCAGACTTCCTGTGAGATCCTTCACGCCACCGCGGTGAGGCTTACTTGCCGGGGCTACTGCTGTGCCTCTGAAGGCGGAGAGTTGCCGAGCCTCTTGGACACGAAGCTATGGGGTGGTGGTCTGGGGGCATCGAAGAAGCACATGATGAATGTTCCGTTCATCTGTGCTTAGTTGGCTTTCACCATTCGTAGCCTAGGTTCCACGAACCAATGCACGCAGTGAGGAGTGCAGCATGGCAGGGAGCTCTCGATTTCGACCCCACATCGTCTTGAAAAAATAACTCGTCGCTGTGAAGGGGACCCGGCCCTGGAGATGCTGAGTGCGAATTTTCTATCGGTCAAAGGCCAATACAGCAGTGAACGACAGCGAAACAATCAGATTTCGGTTCCTTGCTGTGCCGCGCGGTCGCATCTCATGTTGTTATCTTCGCTATTTCATGTTTGATTGCAGTTGTATTCCGAGCATGATGTACTTTGCCAACAGCCGGTCAGCCACCCTTTTCTCCCGGTAGCTCTTCCATCTCTATGGAAAGAAAGTTACGAAACGATTGGATAGCTATTTAGTTCTACAACGAGCCCGCGCTTGATAACCATGAGCAGTTTTTCTGACTGGCATCACTGCCCGAGACGGTGGGGCAGCGATCGCATCGAATCCACCCTACGCGGCAGAGCGGCCACGTGCGTGGTGCCGAATAGTACACCGCCGGACTTCCTCTGTCCCGTGGTGCTTTTGTTCCCGCCCCCTTTCAGTTTATGGGCGAGAATATACGATGGCCGACGGCCGCGGCATACGCCAGCAGTACCAGGAGCCACTCGTTCCACTACTTCGGTGTCACGCCGTGCGAGGCGATTTTGAGGATCTCGCCATCAGGGCCGTTCGATAGATGCGCGACTGGGGAAGGCGGGTGAGGAGGAAGCAGGCCATGGTAACGATCGTTTAATGTGTTTTGTCACGGAGCAATGATGAAGGAAAGCTGGGGCAGAAGTGGGACCGCAGATACCTACGGTGGCTGGACATGTGGCCCGGTAGCACGAAAAAGAGTGGCGAAGGGGGGTGTCAGAGGATACGACTTACCAGGTACATGATTAAGACCCAGGACATGGTTCTTCATACTCCCATACTCCCATGAAGAGAGAGACCAATGTCAGGATCAGGGTGAAGCGTAGGGTTTTCACAAGTAGGTGGGGCTACAAGGGAGGAGGCTACTTTCGGAGGGTCAATCGTCACGGTGACAACGGTTTGGATTAGTCTTAGGGTTATTTCGCACGTCAACCGAGCGCGGGTCGTAACAAGAACACCATGAATCTTACGGGCCTTTCCCTATATTGCAGCATCTCCATCGCCAATCCAACTACCTTTCCTTGATGCCCGGCTCCTCGATTCTATTGTTGCCGCGTGTTTGTGCTAGGGTGGCCATCACATCTGCCCCGACTTCAAGGGGTGTGGTAAACCTAGCTGAATGTTCAGCTGCGTTTGCCACGTCCGTTGACTCGCTGTCCGTAAATTTGTTCAATTTATTCGCTGACTGATTTCTTCTCTGGGACAGGATCTTGTTGTGCCCGTACCCTTCCGCGAAGCATCGGTTGCAGATGTCGCTGTCAACCCGCAACTCCTCACCCGATCTTCGAAATGTATCAGCGAACATTTGCTCGACCTGAAATATGAAGTGAAAATACCTACCCACGCCCCAGTGTTTCTCCAGGTTGTTCCTTTCCGTGAAAGTCAGACAGATTGCGCACGTCTTTTTGGTGCCTTCTAGCTTGAACGCTTTCATCTCTAGATAGAAACATCCAGCCCGTTCGCACAAGCACTTGCAGCTCGGGCTGGACACCACCGCGGCCACACACCCGCCCGTACTTGGCGTCCACCTCAAAGACGTTCCTCGCGTCGGCAACACTTTCGGTGTTCAAGTGTTTCCAACTGGAGTTGGTGCGCGGTTTGGGCCGGTGGCATGCGTGGAAGACGCGCTTTCCCTCCATCAACATACCACACTCGTCTGCACGCAGGTGGCGGTCCTCGTCTTCGGCGGGGGGCAGCAGAAGTAGCTGCGGGAACCGCTGGTTCTTCAATCGGGCGATCCGACCGCTTGACATACCTGGAACCCCATGTTCGACCCCGCATCGCCCGCATACTACTACGGTGCCCGCCATCCATCGCCCCCTGGTTCTCCTCGGCTTCACGTGCTTTAGGGTGAGGGGCGTGTCTTTCGCCATCGTGGACTGTTTCCCCCATATCCGGCACGAAAATCACCTCCTCATCAGTGGATCCATTCGAGGGCCACAACGACCACGGTCGGGCAGTGAACAACACCTCGCTTGCTATGCCACGTGAGTGGCAACACCAGATGCTGGCGCTTAAGTGTCCGACGCTACCCTTTTCCCTAGCAGTGCCGCTGTTCCATCCGCACCTGCGGATCAAGCTCATCTCGTGAGTTGGTAATGTAACCCTCCCACTGGGAATAGCGTTGAGGTACATGGCCCACGACCGCCATGCTAACGCTTCGGCGCCACGCTCTGGTGTTCAACCGTCATCTGTCCCCTCACGGCTGGTGCCCTGTTCGCTCGCATCCAGGTTTCGCCCCATGGTGTCCTCGACAGCGAAGCAGCCTAGGACCAAAGGCACATTCGCGGACATTCAAACGCTAGTAGTGCGGCTGGGGAGTAAAACCGGCTGCTGGAGACAACTGCACAAAACAACTATTATTGAATGTACACAACAGCTAGCTGAGTAGACAACCCTCATTCAAGTTGCAAACATACACTTTCTTCATTATCCCTACACCTCCAGGAGCAAGATAAAACAACAACACAGTAAATAGTTCCCATACCGTTAACTCACCCCCATTCCACCCCCGGGGGCGCCTATGTTTTCCATGGGAAAATAATCCTGTGCGTGCTCAACAACATTAAGGAAAAAGAATGATGGGGCGATTATCGCACAAGAAGCACAACAAGAACAAAAAAAATGGGTAAGTTTTTCTGTGTGTGTTATTATTTTTCCTTAAAAAAAAGGGGGGACGAAGAAGCCTCGCCCCCGGTGTTGCTCTCTATTTCGGATGAACTGTACTCTGTCAGCCAATGTTCAAAGTCACCCCTTGTATTATCATTTGTTTCTTGGGGACTGCGGAGGGTTTGTCATTGCTGTCGTTATCTTCGCGTCATCATCCGTAGTCTCGTTGCGAAACACCATGCCGCATGCTCAACAGCCAGTTGCAAACCAAGGAGGTTACAAGGTTACGTTTGTTTCCAGCAGTAGTAGTAGGTGACAGAAGATATCACACCCCCTGGACCGATTTTCCCAGCTCGATTTCTCTACAAGCGGTACTGTACGGCACGGAGGCATGGTGGACTGACAGTCTTATAACAGCGTAGCGCGTGCGGGTGACAACAATAGTGTAGTGTATATGTTTAACTACAGAAACTCCTTCAATCGTGTTTGAGTGGGATCATCGAACATATTTTTTCATGTTCTTATCTTGCCGAGAGCACACAAACTTTTTTGGCGACACAGAGTTTATCTGACAGCACGTGATCGCTACCCCACAGCTGCTATTCTTCTTTGGTATCACCTGTTCACAGCAGCCGTGAAGGTTTGTCGTTAGCCCACCGTCTAAGACCAAGTGTCCTGTCCTCAGTCAACGCTTGGTGCGCTGGGTGTGCTTTTATAAATGATTTTATTATGGAAAACCTGCGGCGTTATCAAGTTCGCATTTTTACCCCCGGTGCACTAAAAATGCGGCGTGATTCACCGCCTCATCGTGATGAGTTGCGACGTTGGCATTCTCTCTAGGCGCGGCTACGAGTAGACAACGTCTTAACGAAATTGACACGCGACAAAGGAAATACCACTACAGAGCCGGGGCAGCCGGGGCAGAGCCAGAAGTTTTCGTCATCCGGAGGCCCTAACTTCTGTCTCGCCGTGGTTGAAGCTGCCTCTTTGATCGAGTCGACAGTCGATACTCCCCAAGCTGCCTCTCTTACAAGATGTGGGGCTTGATTCGGAAAGACCTTGGGGAGTTCGTCACCACCCTGAAGGATGATGCCGCGGTGACCATCAAGTCGGCCATGGCCCTACGTGAGGGAGAAGAAGAAGACTACGATAGCTCGGTGAGACTATGTACATCGGAGTAAATATCATACTTTTTGTAGAAGCTGTGTGATGTGCAAGTGTTTTTTTTCTTTCTTTCTTCTCTCAGAAAGTCGCGCTTGCCGCCTGAAGTCGTGATCGATGCGGTGGTATAGTAGTGTATGCCTGATCCCTCCGTGGCAACCACCAACCCTGCGTATGCCGAACCAGAATTGGCAAGGAATGAGAAATGAGGACCACCGAAGTTGTACATACAAGTCTCGGTAAACCGTATGCATAGGTGACGTGAGATATCACACCCCCTGTGGATCGAGTTTTAACAATCGACTACAGCAGTTGTATACGACACAAGACAACACACCCCCTGGACCGATTTTCAAAGCTTGATTTCTCAACAGCAGAACGACTCACAGCGCCGAACGCTGTCTTGTCGAGAGCTTTCCGAAAACGTATCGTTTCGTTTATGCGGCCTCTTTGTCGTGGAGTACAAAGCTTTGAAAATTTGTCCGGGGGGTGTGTTATCTTGTGTCGTATACGGTACCCCGTCCAAGAGGCGGGATGGCACCCACCCCAGACCGACTTTCAAAGGTCGATTGCTCAACAACCATGTGGATGGTAAAAGAGCCCGATACGGAAAGCCCTCCATGAGACGTTTCCAAAACTGCCATTGTTGGTGTTGGCACAAGCTTCCAAAACCAGCATTATTGGTGTTTTTATCACAAGCTTGCGCGTCGAGCAATGGAGCTGTGAAAATCGGTTGTGTGGGGGTGCCATCTCTCCTCCTCTTGCGGCGCGTACTCCACGACGAGGAGGATGCCCCAACCAAGTGATGCGTTTTCGGAAAGCTCTCGACAAGGCAAACCCAACGCCGCCATTTTCGGCACCGCCACTGTTTCTGCTGTAGAACATCGGACTTTGAAAATCAAAAATCAGGGTGTGTGATAGATGTCCTCTGTCACCTACCGGCAATCTAACGGGGCCCCAGCCCAAAAACACGGCATTTTAACGGGCCCAGACATTCCATGAAACTGGTCCCGGATATGCCAACTCGGCACTACAGTGGTATTCAGGATTTGAGACGTCCCCTGGAATGGCAGAAATCGGTATTATTCACGAAATCGTCGAGCTCACAGCGGTGTATTGACGTGGTCCATAGGCTATAACCTAAATGGCGTGATGGAGAATAACGTGAGTGGGTGCCACACCTGATCATAACTTTCGTCAGAATGGCGCGGGTTCGAGCATCATACGCGCATGTGCACCAATAGCCGCACGAAGGGCTTTCCCTTTGATGGTATTCACTTTCACTGCGCCTTGGTTCACAGCAGTGTATGTGTCATGAATCTGTCCTTTCCGCCCCCCTCAACCATGAGCAAGATTTGCTACCAGAAACCGGCAAATACTCCACTTGAGCTGTCTACATGTCGTAGGCAGAGAGGCACCCAACACCAAATGCGCCTTGTATCTAAATCTCGGTTGTGATACAAGTCCTGCTGGGAACTAGCTGCATGGTTTGACCTATCGCCCGCGCCGTTGCGCCCCCCCCTCCCCCCCTGATACACGCCGTGCACGGTTGTTGGCGATCTGCCAGTACGACGACAGCGAGGACGACGAGGCCGAGGGGGAAAGGAACCGGCAGCCGGTAACGGCGGCCATCCGCGCCATCAGGGCGGACATCAAGACGTACACCGAGGTACCGAATGCACCTAGGAAGGTGTACGTGCTTTGGTGTGGGTATCGTTCATATGCTGAAGAGGTTTCACCGGCTTGATTTCTTGTCGCGTAAACGCCTCTTTTATTTTTTGTGGATGGCCCCTGACGACTTATGTTGAGGGAGCGTGTGAATGAAACCGGTCCAGCCTGCGGGGGATTGCCTCGGGCCTTCGCAACACCCGAGGAGACATACTTCCGAGCACCTGGTGCCGAGGTGCTTAGTTGTACCACCCCTCGAACGGTCTTTCCGCGGTGCCCCTTTACCGGCGGCGCCCCCCCTTGTGCCAGAGGGTGAAGTCAGTGGCGGTCCGCCATCGACTTGTATGATCACGTGCCATATTCAGCAAATCGCCAGCTGCTGACTTATATTTCATGTGCTGCCCCAGTCTACCCCCCCCGCACCACACCCGCTGACCCTGACGTCAGCCTCGCTTCTGTTTTTTTTTTTGTTTTTGTTCACCGCTCCTCCACACGTCATTATTGGCTGCCCCCCTGACAGGATGTACCCGAGTCGCAGAGCGAGCGTTTCTCGGCGTTCGTGGCGAAGTTCGACCTTGGCGCCCGAACGAAGGACGTCGCGACGATCCTCAAGGAGGACACGGTTGTCACCAAGATCCACACGCAGCTGGTGAGAGGCTGGTGTGCAGTACGGCAGTTTCGATACTGCAGCGCCCGCACTTAAAAACTTGGCCGCCAGTCGAGAAAGAGAATGTGATATACAGCCTCGAAAAAACTCAACAGTCTAAGAAGTTGAACACCTTTTGAGAGCTCGGTTGAGAACCCCTACACTGAAAACCTACGTAGCGGCCATTCTTTGCATGACCCTACATAGGAATACTGTAAGAAACCCAGCCTGGATCAACACTATGAATAGAGATTTAATGCGGGCGCTTACTTACTAGTGGTGTGTGAGGGTCACACTGCTGGTTGGGTGAGGCACCCCCTCGGATAGTTGAAGAAGCACGTTGGTTTGGCGCGGGGGGGGGGGGGGGGGGGGGGGGGGCCCCTTTCCAAAATTTTCCCCCTTCCCCCTTTGAAAAAAAAAGGGGAACCCCTTTGGGGGGGGGCCCCTTTGGGGGGGGCCCTGGGGGGGTTTCCGGGAAATTCCTTTGGGGATTTTTTTTTTTTTCCAAAGTTTTAACTCGGGGGAAAATTTCCCCCTTTTTTTTTTTGGGCGGGGGGGTTTTTTTTGGAAAAAAACCGGGGATTTTACCCTTTTGGGGGGGAAAAAAAGGGGGCCCCCCCCTCTCTCCCCGGGGGGGGCGCCACAAAAAAAAATTGTGGG